AAGCATGTGACACACGTGCCAAGCCGTGAGGTGCCGGCTGCGACTTGGCAACGCAACTCGTCACCATCAGTGTGCTTGGGTCGCGCCTGCCTCATGAGACTGAGACGGGGTCGTTCCGCGGCTTCGCGGAACGTGCAGAACTTTGACGAATTCTGCACAAGCTATGGACAAGCTGGGTGGGCCGGCCATCAGCTGTGAAGGACAGGTCGTAGCACCAGCGGTGCGTTGCCAGGTCGCAGGTCTCAGGACAGCCTTCGCTCGCCTCAGCGTCAGCGCAGATCTCGCACTGAGCCCGAGCCCAGGAAGGCTTCCAACTGTTGCCAAAGTGCCGCCGCGCAGAAGTCCTCACGCTGGCCGCGGCAGCGAAGAGCATTCTCTCCGCAAGGGCAATCTGCTCCATCAGGAATGCCTCAAGAGGAGATGTTGGAGGCAAAGGAAAAACAGCGGCGCAGCTAGGACGTGACAGTGCACTGCGTGCAACGGCTTGAGACAATGGGGCTGCCGTAGCTTTTCCAGCTGGGTGTCACGTAGTGGAAGAGTTCTGCCATCGTCCTTGCTCATCGAAGTTGTCCTTACTTGCGCTTCAGGCTTCGCTGAGGCGTGGCAGTGAAAAAGCCACAAGCAGACGCAGGCACTGCCTCGGTGAATCTTCACCCAGGCGCAACAAGACATTCTTGTCCCCGACATACTTCAGGACAGTCGAACTCCCGAGGGACGCAGAAGGTCCCGGAAGCACCAGCACACCTCAGTTTTGTCACGTGGCCATGCCGAGCTGCTTCGCTTTGACGCCTATATTTCGCATGCGCCTCACCATCTCAAATCGTCTCGACGTCTCGTCTCACAAGTCCCAGAGGCTGCTTGGCAGTGCTACCAAGGGTCAGGGCACGGTCCGGGGTAGCACTCCTCCACGAAGCGCCTCGGGCTGTGAAGAGCGGATTTTCGACAGGATGCCTGGAGCATTTGGCCAGGCGGCTGCACGATGTCCTGGCCAAGTTTCTGGAGTAGGACGCTTTGGGAGACTGTGGAGACTGAAGAATCTGTTGAAATGTCCCACGGTTTTGGCTTCGTTTCAGCACAACCAGCACCCTCTCCACGAGACTCAGCTGCCCCGTTGCTGCAAACGCTGCGACGGTCAAGCAACATTCTTCCTAGAAATGAAGGCAAGGACAACCAGAAAACTGCAGAACTCCGGCAGCACAAACAGCACCCTCAATGAACTCACATGTTCGCGAGGCTGCTGGGTAGGTCCCGTACAAACAGCACTCCAGCCTCAAAGTACGTCTTGCTGCAGAGCTGGTCATCTCCACAAGTCTTCGGGCAGACCGGGAACCGCTCCTGAGTGAGCGCCGTGTGTTTTTTTCTGCTTGAGCAAGCACCGCTGTCACCCTGCGTGCCTTCCACAGGCAGATGTACAGACCCGAATCCTGAAGGCACGGTTTGTTTTCGGGCCTCTCCAATGGACATGCTACAGCTGATTCTTCAGAGTTTGAAGGCCCTGCCGTACTGGCACCGGCACAAGCCCTGCACGTCCTGGTCTTGGCATCGGTGCTCGTTGTCTTCGCAGATGCACCCAACACTGTCGGCACAGCTCTTGTTCCCTCGGTCAAAGCGTCAAGGCTTCAAGATCTGCTGTGCAGACCACGTGATCGTTGAGATCTGAATCCCTTCCTCCAGGCCAAAGCACCCGAAGCGTGATGGCAAATAGGATACTCGCCGCAGTCCAGGGGACCTGTGTTCCGGGATCCCACGTGACATGGTGAGGCATGCCATCTCTCGTTTCTTCTTTTTGGGGTATGTTTATTCTGAAGACCATAAGGCTCCTTACCTGCCACGGCCTCCAACAGCTTCGCTGCAGCCAGGGGACAGTCTTGGGCCTTGGGATAGCACGCAGATAGGCCCTCACACCTCTTCTCCCAGGTGTCGTCGCAAGGGCAGCCTGCCAAACTGCCAAACTGAATGCAAGCCCTGTGTTGCATGAAGTATGCAAAAAGTCCTGCAGCTGTTGCGTGGCAGCTCTTCTCCGGCAACGTGCTACCATCGACTCGGCCCGTGTCCTTGGGGCCGTAGGCGCTTGCACCGGTACCCGATGCGAAGAGACATGCCGCCACGTCGCGTCGTAGGGGGCTGACCAGCATGGGAGCCTCGAAGCCATAAGGTGAGGATGGCAGAGGGAAGGGGGTGAAGGAGGCCACGCACAAGTTCGCTTCTTGCCACATGGACAACCACAGACGGCCGAATCCGATCGAGGCGCTCCTCAGCGCTGCAGTACCTCAAAGCGATGACCCATCGCACTTCTGGCACGACTCAGCTCGTCCGACCAATGACAGTAGATGCATCCGGCGTGCACGGGACAGGGCCCGAGAATCTTGGGCTGGCAGAACAACGTTGAGTTGTTGGGTTGGCCTGAGCCGTGCAACTGCAACGTTCAAGAACGAAGAACGCCTCTCATGTCATTGCAGGACGAAGTGTATGTCTTAAGGCTCTGCGATCCTGAGGTCCTAAAGTTTATGACGGCAGGATGGCTTTAGCAAACTGCCGAAACATAGCGCAATGCTGAGGAGAAACCACGCTGACGTGCTCATGGAGGCGGGTGAATGTACAAATCCACCAGATGCAAAACCACACACCACGCAACCGATGAAGACATTAAAGCATTATGATGCTGCGAGAACGCTGCGTGCCACATTTCAGTGCTGAATCCCCAAAGGCGACTTTGGAGTCGTCCCGTTCGGGAATAACTAAATTCCCGGAGAGTGCTTGCATCGGCACCATCATCATCATCATCATCATCAACGCCTGAGGCTCCGACAGACCCGCTCGTAGAGGTCGTTGCAGGGGCACGGTCTTGGCTCATGGTCCAAAGGCTGTGAATCCAAAGGGGGCTTCGAGGACCCCTTACTGATTGCCTTTCTTGAACATATGCAGCATCGCAGGGCTATAGTACTGCTTGAAACTCACAGACGCAAAGGCCACTTGGCCGAAACCATCTAAACACCAACCGTTTAACCAAATTCATGGCAAATCTTCAGGACGCAATAGCCCGCACGTGCTGACATGGTGTTGAAGCTTTACAAGCTGGGGTCTGGGCAAAGATGCGTTCAGGCAACGCTGCTCGGGAGGTGGCAGGTCGGTCGGCTGGCCTCGCCGATGTTCCGAGCAACCCCCCGTGCTCATATCATCCCTTAAGTTCCAGGACCGCGCCATGAAGGTCGTAGGCTGTGATGGAACAGACCTGGGGTCAAATTTGAGGTGCAGGCTGCTGAACAACGCTGGGCGCTTGGGGCTCCCGCACGTTGGCCAGTAGGGCAGAACAGTCCTGGCAAAGCCCTACCCAGGTATCAGAGTCTCGGAATCGCAGTGCTGCGATACGACCACACCTCCAGGGTCGGCTGAGCTGACCTGCACAAAATGGTGAAGTAGTGCGGCTCCTCATGGCTCCCGGCTCTGATGCTCTCATGCTACAGGCCTCGATGGTGGTGGTGCCAGCACTGCTAGTACTGCTGCTGCTGGTAGTCGCGGTGCCAGCGACGCTGCTCGTAGTAGTGCTGCGCATGGTGGCAGTACTGGTGTTGCTGCGGGTAGTGTCAGTAGCAGTCATGGTAGTGGAAGTACCAGTGCTGCTGGAGATACCAGTGCTGGTGGTGGTGGCGGTGGTGCTAGTGGTCGTGGCGGTACCAGTGCTGCTGGTGGTCGTGGCAGTGCCGGTGCTGGTGCTGGTGCTGGTGCTGCTGGTGCTGGTGCTGGTGCTGGTGGTGGTGGTCGTGGTGATGGTGGTGATGGTGGTGGTGGTGATGGTGGTGATGGTGGTGATGGTGGTGATGGTGGTGGTACCAGTGTTGCTGCTGGAGGTGGTGGTGGTGGTGGTGGTGGTGCCAGTACCAGTTGTTGTGCTCGTAGTCGCCTGCGTGAAGATTTGCCAGACATCAACAACACAAGCGAAGCAATCTCTGGTATCGCTTTCAATTTTGACAAACGAACACCTGCCCTTCAGCTCTGGTGCTAAGAAGCTGCCCTTTCATGACATCCTATACGCAACGCTGGTTCCGACTTCCTGCCGCCCGCACAAGCCTGAAACCATAGGTCGTTGAGATAGCTGCTGCCTCAGTGGTCACCACTGCGAAGCACATCGCAGCCTGCTGTCGTGCTGGCCCTGACGTGCTCTCAAGATCTCTCAAGGCCCCCACCGTCATGCCCACCGAACACGTAGATTCCGTCCGCTGCCGGGCTCCACACCACGCTGTGACTATGCCGCTCGGACGGCGCCGTGTCACTCGGGCTGAGCTCTGTCCAGCTGTTTGCCTGCGAGACATGTCTGATGCTGGGCATCTCTTCGTGGGAAGTTGCCTGCAGATCCAATTGGGACATGGAAGGTCGCCCGCCCTGTGGCCGGGCTTTTCCTTTCTGCTGGTCAGCGCTTCAGCAAAAAAACACCTCCTCAGCATTTCTTGTACGTCTACTTGAAGGGGCGGGGTGTTTAGTAATCGAATACATGGTTTAGGAGATTTAGACAATCAGGTTAAGTTGAGTTATAACTTTGTTAACATGAGTTATAAGTGCTGTATATATACTATGTTGTATGGACAACTTAGCAAGTCCGAAGCTTGAATTAAGAAGTGGAGCAAGCAGTTGAGTCACTTAGCCAAAAGCAGGGTGGAACTTATAAGTAAGATAGAACAAGTCTTTTAAGCAACTTGCCAAATTTAGATAACTTTGTGTAAATGATTTAGGTAAGTGGTGTAAGTTGTTTAATTGAAGTTGTTTTCCTGGCATTTGCAAAGCTTCAAACGGAAGCTTGCATGGAGATCTCCTGCCGCATGTATTCAGGATGCAATTGAAAATTGCATGGAAAGCTGCTGCATTGCATGTGTTGAGGAAATGCTCGCATGCTTGCATTCTGTGTGTTGTGCATGACTGCATGCATTGCAGCCATATATCGCCATTGCAGGGCCCTTGGCTCGCAGGCAGATTATCAGCTTCGTCGTCCATCTCGCTTGCCCATCATGCCTTTGCAGTCGGATGTGCGAGAGCGGCTGCAGGCTTTCCTTCGAGAAGCCTCGGACGGCGACGGCCTTGTCCGAATCGTGGAGAACTGCTTGAACTACTTGAAGTCCAAGCATCTCTTGACCTCCATGAAGTTGGAGGCGAGCCTTGTGGGGATCCATCCCTGCAACCGGGATGGGTATGGCGTGAATCCACAAGACGTTCGTGATCTTGTGGACTCGATTGTCGATGTGGGCTACGTCCCCACACGTGTCCATGCGGTCGGTGTCGAAGTCGAAGGAGACTGGGTCCGGCAGTGGAACAAAAAGCTTTTCGAGTCCGCCCACGGTCTTCTCGGAAGCCTTGAGCCGGAAGCGATCAAGATCACTTCGATCTGCGGATCACATACCAATTGCGCCTTGAGACTTTTCCAACAAGGGGCAAGCCACGGCAACGAGGTCGTGAGTGTGGGTGGAAAGCTCAGCATGGAGCTTCTTCGTGCTCGGGATGCTTCGTTCCACGAAGCAGCTGATCAAGGCTTGACGTGGGACGTGATCTCCTCCTCCGTGGCGGAAGAGTTCCCAGAGCTGATCAGCTTGATATCCCGATCAGGCAACACATCGCTTCAACGAGGAGAACATGAGTTACAAGTACTCCGTCGCATCCACTCCACGTACTACCGCTTGCAGACTCAGACTGGCCAAGCACCGGCTTATGCAGCTCTGAAGAAGTTGATATTGGCCAGCAAACCAAGCTGCCATGCCTCCGTACCCCACATGTTTACGTTTTGTCTGAAGGCTTCCGGGGGTGCCGATGCGAGCTTCCTTCAGGAGACGGAGTCCTTTGTACGGGCTTACTGCCCTTCTTCTCGGCAATTGGGGCCTGTCATGTGGGAGGCTTTCGGACAAGATTGCCGAGGGCACCAGTCAGATCCCGTTGCAGCATTTCGCCATGCACTCATGAAGCAGGCATACTTGAGGCAGAATGTGTCCATTGCTGATGTGAAGAAGATGACTTCTAAAGAGCTCTTCCCCAAGGTCAAGGAAGCTGACAACATGATCCTCACGGTCAGGGGCATCTTAAGGGATGGAGCTCGCGATTTCATGACGGATTCGCGGGTCGTGCAAGCTCTGGCCACTATGGACATGACGATAGCATCGCACGTCCTCGGCATCAAGGTGCCGGACGAGAAGAAGTACAAGACGGTCCAAGCGATTGGGCACGATTTTTTGCTCGTGGCAAGAAACCTGACTGGTGTTGCACTCCCTTTGCCATGGGAGTCGGTGTCTGAGAAAAGTGAACCAGCTGCAACTGCAGCGACTGCTTCCCAGCCTTCTGCTGCAGGTGTGATGCTTGAGCTTGCTGAAGACGGCAGTATCAAGGAACCTGAGAAGGTATTGGCCTCCAAGGGTTTCGCTATGGGTGCACACATCCGTCGCAAGGTTGACAAAATCGAGGGAGTTCTTTCAGAAGTGAAAGGTCAGATGGTCTTTGTGAAGATGGCTTCGGGAAAGACGGCCAAGGTGGATCTCAATGTTATCCTGGCTGGAGATTGGGTCGTGTTTGTTCCTCGTGTGCAGCCCACAATGCTAGACAGCTTGGACCAGTACCAGCACCATGTGGATTTTGATGCCAGCATTCTTGCATCGAAGATTCAGCCTGAGCTCTACAAGCTTCACCAGTCCATGGAGTGTGGATCGGAGCACCTGAAATTGCAACTGAAGCCTTCGAGGATGTTGCTTGCCAACTCGGACATCAAGAATCAGAAACTCTGCATGGTGCCCATGACCAACAAGGTCGTGCAGAAATCCCAGGGCCAAAGCAACACCATGTTTGAGGTGCAGACGGACTGGCAAGGAGACGACCGCAAGTTTTGGCTTTCCGGTGCCAACATCTTACCCAAAGATAACGACGACGACACTTGCAAACATGTGCTAGTTCCCTTTTGGTTGGTGCAGCACAGCCATCAGGAAGAGGATTGCAATGTGAAGCTTGTTTGGGTTGCAGGAACAGACAAGAGCATCAAGATTCCGGTTTTTAAGAACACCAAGAAGATCCCGGAAGGCAGCCCCATTGTGGCTTTCAGATCTAAAACGGTGCAGGTGGCTCCCTTGGATGAAGTGGAGGACGACCAGAAGACTTCGGCGCAGAAAAGAGCATCGGCGACCTCAGGTGGCTCCAGCAAGAAGGCTCAGAAGAAGTGATGTTTCGGCATCCGTGTGCAGTCCAGTGTGCTGCTATACGCCAGCAGCAGCCATTGCTTGCAGTATCTGAAAGACTCCATTGTATTTATATGTGAGGTCTGTTTCTAATGCATTGCGGAGAAGGATATGTACAATTGTTGCAGGTTGCAAGCATCCGAGGGGCATGGTTTTTATAGAGCGACCATTCATAGAGTGTTCTGTGCAGCTGCATGGTGCGAGGATCCCTCAGGTGTGCGAGCTTGTGCTTTGCGGATGGAAATGCAGTGCAGCTTTATGCTTCTGTATGCAAGTGCAGGATGCATCACCCGTGATGAAGTGCAGGTGCATTGTTGAAGTTGCTGCTTGCATGGATGTGTTGTTTTCGCCTAGGCAGGGCATGTGTGCTCGCCGGCAGAAAACAGCTCCAGGCTCGCATCAAACCATTTCCCTCGTGCATCGCATCATCATGGCTTGCTTCGAGATTGTGACGAAACAGGTTGTCGTGCTGGGTGACCGAAGCTGGATGCCAACCCAAAAGAGTGTCGACGACCGGGTCTTTTGCGCCGTCTCCAAATGGAGTCCGCAGCTTGTGAAAATGATCACAGGCAAACGACTGGACCTGCGGTCGGGCAAGGGCGACTCGTCTGGGTCTCTGAACATAAAGCTCTTTGACGATTTGATCGAGAAGAGGCAGGCTGCCTGCGACAGGCTGCTGGAAGAGGCCATGAGGGACGATGAAGCCGACGACGAGCCCAAGAAGAAGAAAGCGAAGAAGGATAAGGTGAAGGCTTTGGCCAAGCATGTGCACTTGTTGCCGGCGATCGTCGACATTACTGTCGAGGGCTTTCAGCTGTCGATCCTCAGCGAGGGCCTGTCTACCGGGAGCATCTTCGTGGAGATGCTCTCCGAGAATTTCAAATTGGCTCATGGAGCAGGCGAATCAACAAATGCCTGTCGACCGGAAGAGGCGAAGCCGTAGCTCCCGGGACAAGACCGACTGCAGCGAGGATTCCGACAAGGCCGCCAAGATTCCACCGGCGAAAGCCAAGGGCAAGGCCAAGGCAAAAGCCAAGAGCCCGGCCCTGAAGAGCATCCTGGGTGGCTCCCCGGCCAAGAACCCGGCCCCGAAGAACATCCCGGGTGGCTCCCCGGCCAAGGCCAAGAAGTGATTCTGCATGCAGTGTCGCATGTATCTTCCGTGCATCCATGCAATGTGTATACTTGATGTATAGGATGTATCAACACACCGTATGTATATATATATATATATATATATATTTTTTTTACTGTCAATGATGCAAACTCACAACGGCTCCACACTTTGATTGCCCGATGCTGTCTTTGGACAGACGACATCGACCGAAGCTCTCTGAACATTGGTGTCGTGTTTCTGCATGCACAATTGCCCTTGTTGCAGTGGGTGCCACGTCTGCGCCATGCTTGCTTTTGAAGCTCTTTTGGCTTGTGAAGCTGCCGTGGTTTTTGGGAGTGATGATGTCCTTTAGCTTCTTGTCGCGAAGCCTTCCCTCTGCTGTGGAGGTGGGGCCCCTGTATAACCACATGTACACACATGCCACCGCCCCAAAAATAACAGGCCGATGTGGTGGAGCGGCTGCAGCTCCACCTGGACTTCTCGAAGTCCGGGAAGGGGAAATACAAGAACGATGAAGGCCGGTGCCCCCATGCAAGTGATATGGATATAGCCTTTGATTTGGTTGCTTTTTTCTTGCAGGCACCACGATTTCCTGGTCGGCCAAGATGGGGTGGAAGATCCTGTCTGTTGGAGGCTGCAGTCATAGAGTCCAGTTATATATAGTGTCTGCATGGAATCAAGTGAATTGGCTCGTGCACTCGTGCAGGTGACATGTACTTCAAGCACCCAGACGTGCAGGCCATGAACGTGCCTGCCAGCCCTGGTCCTAGGTGTTTTCATGATATGGGTAGAGGAAAACCGTTGTCGCCTAAGGCGGGTGGCTCTACTGGAACGACGATGTGGGAGACTTTAAAGCTTCCGTGATATGCCTGGCAGGCCGGGTATTTGAAGCTCAAGGAGTCCATATGTAGTTGCAGCATGCAGGCCACGAGGAGTCGGACACCGTGGAGGTGGACCTCGAGAATCCACCGGCCGAGCCCAGCAATTGCAACTGCTTTTGCATGCTGCTCCATCGTACACATCTAGTGTGCCTGCTCGCCAGTTGTGCTGAAGCCGGCGAACAGCAAGAAGCAGCGCCCAGCGGAGCCGAAGGCGGAATTTCTTCGTAAGGCGATATAATGTACTTCTTGTTTGATTGCAGGAGCCGCCTCCGAAGAGGTACATGGACCCCGTGCCAAAGACCAAGGACAGCAAGCATATAGCTGTTCACGGTGTATATAATGCATGCTGCATCTGTGGCAGGCTTTGCCCACGAACTGGGACGAAGGACTTCTTGTGGTTGTCTGGAGCCAGGCTTCTTTGCAAGTGTTTGTTGTCTGGATTGAGGAGATCTCATGCCGGACTCGAAGGACAAAGGGCACTACGTGAAGCCCCAGGCTTTTTCTTTGGGTCTGGCATGCACGACTGCACTTGTCTCTACTGATGCAGTCTTCTTGGGCAGGTCGCTTTCATCGACGAGCACGGCCAGGCTTGCCTTGGTCTTTGTGATGGTGCTTCAGGTTTGCCTCTGCTTGCTGCTGGCCCCGTTGCAGGAGTGGGCAGCGGGCATGGGGAGAAAGAGGGCACGGACACGTGGTGGCCAGATTGTCCGTGCCCAGAAGGCCCAGGGGGCACTCGAGGAGTCGAGAAGCCACATGGAGGACCCTTGCTGCTTGCCAATCCACGAGAACAGCAAAGCTGAAGACACCGCGAGCCCCGACATGCAGGACCTGCGGGCCAGCCTCCACACGATGGGGGTGATGGCTGAGACCATCAACCTGCAGGCTCACCGGGGCCGTTGAGGCCTGTGCTGTGACCGAGGAGCCTTTCTGTCCTGATGGTGTTGAAACTTATAATGCCTGGCAGGATCCCATGGTTCCTGCCTGGCACCCCTGGTTTGTGGCCTCGAGACCAGGGGAGCCGCTAATAGTTGGAAGCTCAGACCGCCTGTGTTGCTCTATATACGGCCTGGCCTGCTTGCTTGGATCCCAAGGTCCTGCATGCTGTGAGCAGCGAAGGACCTGAAATTGGGGGCATTTTCCGGCTCGCCGCTTCGGGCACAGAGGGTCAGGGCTACCAGTCCCGATGGCCGGGGTTTATGCATGCATAAAGCCCCTTAAGCAAAATAGACCGGAACTTTATGCATGCATATGGCTGGGTTCAGTTTCCTAGGGCGGGGCTTATGCATGCATAAACCTCGGCAGGGCCAAGGGCACAAACCTTTATGCATACATAAAGGTTTCGGGTTTTTGGGGTCAGGCCCCTTATGCATGCATAAAGGGTTGCTTTCCCAGTGCCCTCGTGGTTCCCTGTCCTCTGGCCTCTCTAGGCAATAAGTAGGGAAACTCTATAGGTAAGAAATAGCTTTGGGCTGCAGAAGACGAATCGGCGAGGGGGCTATATCCCCCTGTACAGCCGAGGCTTTGGGCTACCGGGGCCTCGTCCTGTGTCTGTTTCACGACCACAGACCATATGGGCCAGTTTGAAGAAAAACCGCCCATCCTCCGAGTGTGCACCGTTTGGTCAGGCCCATGAGGCACACAGACCCCCATGGCAACATGTGTGTGTGTGTGTTTGTGTCTGCGACAAAGAGCAACAAACGAGGAGAGGGAGAGAGAGAGACAGAGACAGAGACAGAGAACGAGTGAGCGAGGGAAGGTACAAGGGGGTTGGAAGGAGGGGGGGTTGGCTGTGAAGGAAGAGACTGCTACATAGCAAAGTGGCTGCATGGATTTCACTGAAGTACATATACATACACAGTTTTACACACTCTGCATATATACGTATTACATGTGAGATGTGTATCTACCCCACACACACATACATATATATATATGTACATGTATATATACACGATATGTATATATATATATATATATACATATACAGATACCAAAACATATCGTTCATATATTCTTATATACACATATATATACATACATATATGTGTATATATATATATGTGTATACGAAATGGACTGAATCTGTGAACTTACATACACATATATTACACACTTGCATGCCTGCAGGTGTCTTTATACTGTAGTAACATGGCTGTGCTCTTGAGGGTGTATACGGGTTCTGCTGGCGAGCTCAGAGCCCTGCCTGCGAAAACCGAGACCCCTTTGGTGAAGAAGTCTTCCGGTCTGTGACTGCATGCAATGTGAAAGACGTCTCCAGTGGCAGGCTGCATGCTTGTGTGTTGCAAGGCACATGCACTCCATCATCTGCCTGCTGCCCGCTGCTGCTCTATAGACAGGTGTTCGCAAGCAGGGCTACAGCAGCTCGCTTTGTGCAGAGCATCTGTGCTATATCCGGCCGTGCCATGGCAGCTGCTTTCCTTCGACAGCTGAACCAGCTCCTCCAGACCCAGCAGCCCATCATGGGAGATCAATGGACTTCTCTCTTGGCTGCTCAGAGCGAGGTCGCCATCAGAACGATTCGTCAAAGCCACATCACAGTCGAGGAGGGTGCAGAGATCTGCAGCTTGGTGCAGCAGGGCCTTTGGTCACACGAGCAGAAGCAGGCCCTGGGTGCAGCCGTCTCCCAGACCTTGGCAGGCAGCACTCCAGCAAATGCCAAGGCCAAGAAGAAGAACCAGGAAATTCTCAACTTCTGGGGTTTCTTGGGTGCCGAGGACCGGCGAGTTTTGTCGAGCGACGACACTCTCGTCATGAGGCTGACTCACACTGCTCAGATAATGGCTCGACTGGAGATGTTCTGGCCATCAGAACAGTCTGTGGGACACATCATCAAGACCCTGCAGAGTTGCAACAATAGTGGCTTGCAGAGCCCCGACGAGTTCCATTCGGCTGTCGTGTGCCTCAAGAAGAAGGTGAAGACCATGCTCAAAGATACTTCCTGTGGCGAGTTCGTCGCCAAGTACACTCGGCCTGAGGATCTTCCACCACACACCCGAGATCGCTTCGCAGATGCCTTGGGAGGTGAGCTGCCTGGAACAATGGTGCTGGCCCGTGATGCTCTTCGTGGCAGTAACAAAAGCCTCTCTTTCCACAAGAGCAACACTGCCATGGTGCTGGGTGGTCCAGCAGCAGGGCCGGCAATGCACATGCCCCACACCATGCAGGGTATGATGCAGTTCTGGGGCAGCATGGCAGCTAACATGTTCAACCAGCAGCAGCAATTTGCGAAGAAGAACGATGGATTGCCTGGGTTGAAAATCTTCGGCGACCCAGCTGCTGCCGCCTCCTCTGGGACGATGGCCTCCTCGCCTGCTCAACAGCAGGCCTTGCAGCTTCCTACAGTTACCAATGAACCGGCACAGGGCAGCGGAACAAAGCAGGCCCAGCAACAGGGAGTGCTGGCCAGCAAGGATCCTGTCAGTGCTGCACAACATGCAGATGAAATGCTTCAAGCATGGAAGGGCGAGAACAAAGGGTTCGACAGCACCGCCGAGGCCGAGGCCAAGGAAAACGAGGCGAAGCAGAAGGCAAATAAGTCAAAGCCCAAGGCTGCAGCCAAGGCTAAGGGTGCAGCCAAGGCCAAGGCTAAGGCGAAGGCCAAGTGCACGGCCATGAAGTCCCAGCCCAAAGCAAAGTCGCAGCCCAAGGCGAAGGCCAAGGCTGCTTGCAAGGCGAAGGCGAAGTCGCAGCCGAAGAAGGTCCAGAAGGCTTTGAAGAAGTTCACTCGAGAAGAGGTTCGATGCATGACTTTGTCGGCTCGCATCAAGCTGCGACCCAATGGGTGTGCCAAGTGCCGGGAAAAACCCGGCTGCACACCGTCGTGCTTTGGCAAATGATTGCATCCACAGCTGCTGAAAGCATGCACAGCTGGAGTCCTATATAGGGTGAGAGTTTGGAGGCTACAGGCAGAGTGTATATACATCTTAAGCCTATGCATGTTGATGTGTTTTGGTGTCTTCCAGCATCAGCAAAGTTTTGTTCGCGAGCCTCCACGAAGCATGCACCTTATTATTCTATCTTTCACAAAGGCTGTGTGTACATTAAAGGCATTATACCTCGGGAGGTATAATGTTGGGAGCATCGCTTGCCACGGAGGGAAAGACCGAAGCGATCCTGGCAGGTGTCAAAAGCGGCGGTGGTGCAGGATGCCTGCACGATCCGGGTTTTTGTTTTGTGGCATTATATATATATATATATATATATATATATATATATGGGATGGATATGTATATGTATATATATATATATATATTATAGGAGCCTATATATACTTTATATATATATGGGTTGAATATATATTGATATATATATATATACACATATATTATACAGGGTGTCCTTTTACAAGAAAATGCGAATGCTGACCCTTCTTGGAGAACTATGTTGAAGCTTTCGAGTTGTACATGTATATATTATATATGGCTTTACGATTTATCAAGATGTGTCTCCGTTTGGTGTTAGGTTAGGTTTGGTGTGGTATACTTGAACTATATATATATATACTGTATACAGATATATGTGTACAAATCAATATTCGGATGCTATATGTATATATATATATATATATAGCTTTCGGGTTTCTGTGTATACATATATATATATATATATCAAATATTTAGTTTCGGGTTTATGGTTAAAGGTTGTCTTGGCCTTGCACTGGAGTTTCCCGGACTGCTCGCAGTGGGGTTGCACCGTTGCAGCCATATGCTTGGAAACCTGCAGGAACAAAGAGCATGCATATATATACATGTAAACAAAACATATCAGTGCCTGCATGCTCCCATCCACTTTTCCTATATATAGTACCCTTTACAGATATATATATATATATATATATGAATCTGCAGTCAAAGTAGTGGGTCGCTCGGCAGGGCCAAGAGCTCGCCAGCAGACCCCATGGCTTCCGCCGGGAGCTCCTCGCTCTCTTGCTTGGGAAGGAAATCATATGTATCCCAGCGAGGTCTCAGTCAGGTCTTGCAGGAACTCAAAGAGCTGCCCGAGTTGCCATCTGGGACGAGTCGCCGAACACTGAAGCGGGCCCGGGATGAGAAGACTCGGAGCTACCAAACTGCTTATGGCGAGATCCTATGCGACTTCAAGTGTGTTGCCGAAACTGGTGTGGAGTTTGAATTTCCTGTCTTGAACCCAGCTGCAATGCTTGCCTGGGCGACAGAGCGATGTCGACCATTTGGCGAGTTCCTGGAGAGGGCCATGGATGCCACACCCCCCAGCATTCTTCAACCATGGGGATTGGTGTGGTATTCCGACGAGCTGGCTCCGGGCAACCAACTCAAGCACTCGAACCGGAGAAAGGTCCAGGCTGTATATTGGAGCCTGCTCCCTTTGGGACAGCATGCAATGGGTTGCGAAAATTGCTGGTTCACTCTCTGTGCCATTCGCAGCTCTCTGGTCGCAGAACTCGGCGGCATGACTGTGCTCTTCAGGCAGCTAGCAGCCTTGTTCTTTGAGAGACCTGACTTCAGAAAAGGTCTTGTGTTGCAGTGCCCTGGACAAGCACGTATGCTCTTTGCCGACTTGAAGATCATCATATCCGACGAAGCTGCAATTAAGGCTACTACCCTTTTCAATAAAGGAGCCAGTGGACTCATATTCTGTGTTCAATGCCAAAACGCCGTGGACCACAAAAGCAGCATTGCTGAAAGGAGTCGGGGCAATATGGTGTCCGGCTTGGAAACCGACATGAGTTGCTTTCGGATGCACACACCCGAGTCTATACGAGACACCATGGACTTCTTGCGAAGGCAAGAGAGGGTCCTCAACAAAGACAGATTCCTGCAACTCCAAACAGCAATGGGGTTCAATTTCAAAGAGGATGGATTGCTGGCACATGCAGCATACGGGCCTCCGGTCATCGAGTGTGTGATGTTCGATTACTTCCATGTCTATTTAGTCAATGGCATCTTCAATGTTCTGACAGGGTTTTTTCTTGGAGAGCTTCACAACCATGGCTGGAAGCACAATGACATTGATCGCTTCGCAAATGGTTTTACCTGGCCTTCTCGTTTGCGAGGTGCTGCTGCAAAGGATATCTTGCAGAAGCGAAAGCCAAGCGAAACCTTGAAGTGTGGAGCCAGCGAGGCTCTGAACTTTATGCAGCTGCTGCGACTCTATGTGCTACTCTTTGTGCTGCCAAATTGCAGCAGAGATATCCGGGACTCTTGCGAGGTTTGGTTGGCTTTGTGCAAGGTGATTGATGCTTTGCAAGCGATCAATGCCAGACCTTCAGCATTTACCCCCCTGGAGTTGCAGCAGCTCATCAAAAGGCATCTCGATCTGGCGAAAAGTCGGTATGGAGATGAGTGGTGGGTGCCAAAGTGTCACTTGGCAGGCCATTTGGCGCTGCAACTGGCCAAGCATCAGGTCCTCCTCAGCTGCTTTGTGCACGAAAGAAAACATAAAATCATCAAAAAAATTTCGAATGAGATTTTGGATACAAGCAGAACCTTCGAGAGGAGCATCCTGCAGGATGTACTCCATGGTCACATGGAAAGTCTGGCAGAGGGTGTATACCTCCCAGGCCAAGGAGTTCGCTTGGTCGACCCTGTGAGACCAGCTCCTGCCAGATTGCAAACAGAGATACACAACACGATCCGGGTCCAGGGTGAAGTCTTCACAGCCAGGCAGGCAGTGCATGGAGGAAACTTCACCGTGGCTGTCGGCGACTTGGCCGTGATGGATCTGGATGGGGTCACTGCCGTAGGCAAAGTGGCTTATCATGTAATGTGCGAGAAAGTTGTATGGTCGCACATTACCTTCTGGACACATGTCCATGGCTGTATGTATGAAGTCTCCGACGATTGTGGCCTCGTGCAAACCCGACTGATCCGGGCCACATGCCCTTACAGCATTTCGGGCAATGCTGCCATTGTCGCAGTCCCGCAGGTGTAAAAAAGAGAACTGCATGCGAGCTTTAAAGCCCTGCATTGCGTCTCTGAGCAGCATGCTTCATGCAACTTAGATCACTTAGCTCACTTATCTTTTTCATATAAATGCACTTAGCTAGCCAAGTTAACTTCAACATAGCTAAGTTCAATAACTACACTTACACATCTCATATAAGTCATTTGCTAACTGTGCCAAACAATTAACAACCTGCATATACAATTACTAACCCCCCCGCCACTTCAAGTACACCATGTCGGATGCTGGGTCTTGAAGTGTTGGCACCCGAAACATGCATTACATGAGCCGTGAGCCCCTTAAGCTCGCGATATCTGGCGATGGCCCTCGCCGGCCTGGCGCCCGTAGAACCATAAGTCGTTCAGAGGGCTGCTGCCTCAGTGCTCCGCAGCACATCGCAGCCTGCTGTCGTGCTGCCCCTGAGGTGCTCTCAAGATCTCTCAAGGCCCCGGCCGTCCCACCCACCGAACACGTAGAATCCGTCCGCCGCCGGGCTCCACACTGGGTAACTTGAACTCCGCGCAGACGGCGCCGTGCCACTCGGGCTGAGCTCTGTCCAGCTGTTTGCCTGCGAGACATGTCTGATGCAGTTTGCACATCCAATTGCGACGCGGAAGGTCGCCCACCCTGTGGCCGGGCTTTTCTTTTCTACTGGCCAGCGCTTCAACAAACAAGGTCAAGCCGGGAAAGCAAAAACCAAACCGTTCTTTAGGCATGAGGGAGAGCAATGATCCAGAGCGGGGCTTTCGGTCTTTGTTTCGCCGTCCACTCGGTACCCGCACTGGCCCCGTCCATCCTCGCGCCCAGCAGTCCCGTCCAGTCCACCGCGAAAGCTCGACACCCAGACGCGAACGCTCGGCACCTAAGAGCTCCCCACCCGTCCCCGTCCGCGGCCACGTCTTCCTGCCAACCCTCGGCAACTGGAGCTCCTCACCCGTCCCCTTTAACGGGCGCGAGCTCCCGTCCGTCCACGGCCGCCCGCGAACGCTCGGCACCGAGAGCTCCGCAGCCCGTCGACACGATGCCGTGGACGCGTCCTCTTCGCTAAAAGGCTTTTCCGGTCCACGGCAACGCTTTTTTGTGAACGCTCTCCCACAAGAAACACGAACCCAACCCCCGAGGGCTTTTTGGGAAAAAGCACCTCCCCAGCATGTCTTGTACGTCTACACCACGTCGGTTGCTGGGTCGTGAAGTGTTTAGCACTTGAATCCTGCATTGCATGAGCCATGAGCCCCTTAAGCTCGCGATATCTCGCGATGGCCCTCGCTGGCCTGACGCCCGTAGAACCATAAGTCGTTGTTGACATTGCTGCTGCCTCAGTGATCCCCCCTGCGCAGCACATCGCAGCCTGCTGTCGTGCTGCCCCTGACGTGCTCTCAAGATCTCTCAAGGCCCCCACCGGTCTTCCCACCGAACACGTAGAATCCGTCCGCCGCCGGGCTCCACATGGCGGCATGACCACTCCGCCCGGACGGTGCCGTGCCACTCGGGCTGAGCTCTGTCCAGCTGTTTGCCTGCGAGACATGTCTGATGCTGGGCATCTCTTCGTGGGAAGTTGCCTGCAGATCCAATTGGGACATGGAAGGTCGCCCGCCCTGTGGCCGGGCTTTTCCTTTCCAGCATTTCAACAAAAAAGCCACTCCTCAGCATCTGTTGTACGTCTACGCCATGCCGGTTGCTGGGTCGAGAAGTGTTGGCACTCGAATCAAGCGTTACATGAGCCGAGAGCCCCTTAAGCTCGCGATGGCCCTCGCTGGCCTGACGCCCGTAGAACCATAAGTCGTTGAGATAGCTGCTGCCTCAGTGATCCCCCCTGCACAGCGCATCGCTCATGACGTGCTGTCAAGATCTCTCAAGGCCCCGACCGTCATACCCACCGAACACGTAGAATCCGTCCGCCGCTGGGCTCCACGCTGCGTCATGGTCAGCGCGGATGGACGGTGCCGTGCCACTCGGGCTGAGCTCTGTCCAGCTGTTTGCCTGTGAGACATGTCTGATGCTGGGCATCTCTTCGTGGGAAGTTGCCTGCAGATCCAGTCGGGACATGGACGGTCTGTATGTTGAGGCACGCCGTGAAGCCTTCGACTGGCTGTACCAGCGTATTAAGGATACTCTGCTATGCCATGCCCCCGCCAACAGTGGGACGCTTGGGAACAAGTCATGCGGCACCACTGAGGGCTGCATTCCATGCAAATTGGATTCGTTGATGGGTGCTCATGGGCCAGGCATTCCGCCCGGAAGCATGGTTACCGTTGCATCCCGAAGTTGCTTGTGCAAGCATCGGACCTGCCTCGGATGTGGAAAGGTTTATAGGACCCCGGGCCGACTACATTGCCATCTTCGTGCCGTCAAAGCCTGCCAGCACGTTTTGTACCTGGTGGGACTGAGAGAACTGTCGTGCCACACCGCACTTTGACCCATCCCGGCAGGTTGGCATTGATGCCGAGATCTCGCAGCCTTTGCTGCAAGCCCTGCTTTTTCTGGATCATGTATCTGATAAGGCAGTTTGGTCCACGGTGTGCGCATTCATTGAGCCACTCCAAATACTGAAGAATACGGGGAGGCAAAGGGAGTTCCTGAGGCCTACCGATGCACCTAGCCCTGAAACCCCGGAGACCTTCGTTCTCCTTCTCGACCCCCAACTGATTTGCGAAAGATTTCGCGCTCCCAAGCTAACAGAAGTTTCTGACCGTGCAGGCGAAGAGGTAGGCTGGACTGAGATTGGCCTTCTCCCTGTCTCCCCGGCCGGGCTTCGGCATGATTTCCAGATTGCCGAGCCCCCACAGACCTCTTTCGCCTACCCTTTCCGGCAGAGCACCAGTGCGTGCCACAGTCGTGATGTCTTCGACTGGGTCTAAAGTTCATGTGAGACGCTTGCGCAGGCCGCGGTTACTTCCCTGTCCTGCCGTGTCGCTTTGGATTTTCCTTTGACGGCATAAGCCGCTCTCCGGCGGCCGAATGGTTTGTTCAGGGAGGTTGGATCCTGGAGCGCAGATTTTTTCGATCCCGCATCGCTTGCTGAGCTGGCGCGTCCTCGTTTCACCAAGAATTCGGATGCCAGAGGCGCGTCGATCGTCAACCCGAAGCCTAACGAAGAGAAGAGCCTGGGTCGAGAAGTGTTTAGCACTCCTTAAGCTCTCGATGGCACTCGCCGGCCTGACGCGCGTAGAACCACAAGTTGTTGACGTACGCGCTGCCTGAGTGATCCGTCATTCCCAGCCCCGCCACACCGCATCGCAGCTTTCGTGCTGCCCCTGACGTGCTCGCAAAGATCTCTCAAGGGCCCCGGCCATCCGACCCACCGAAGGTGTAGAATCCGTCCGCTGCCGGGCTCCACACTGCGGCATGGTGTACTCCTGCGGACGGCGCCGTGCCACTCGGGCTGAGCTGGACCCAGCTGTTCGCCTGCGAGACATGTCTGATGCTGGGCATCTCTTCGTGGGAAGTTGCCTGCAGATCCAATTGGGACGTCTACACCATGTCGGATGCTGGGTCTTGAAGTGTTGGCACTCGAAACATGCATTACATGAGCCGAGAGCCCCTTAAGCTCGCAAAATCTGGCGATGGCCCTCGCTGGCCTGACGCCCGTAGAACCATACGTCGTTGAAACTGCACACCGCAGTGCTGCTGCTGGTAGTCGCGGTGCCAGCGACGCTGCTCGTAGTAGTGCTGCGCATGGTGGCAGTACTGGTGTTGCTGCGGGTAGTGTCAGTAGCAGTCATGGTAGTGGAAGTACCAGTGCTGGTGGTGGTGGCGGTGGTGCTAGTGGTCGTGGCGGTACCAGTGCTGCTGGTGGTCGTGGCAGTGCCGGTGCTGGTGCTGGTGCTGGTGCTGCTGGTGCTGGTGCTTGTGGTGGTGGTGGTCGTGGTGCTGGTGGTGGTGCTGGTGCTGGTGCTGGTGCTGGTGCTGGTGCTGGTGCTGGTGCTGGTGCTGGTGCTGGTGCTGGTGCTGGTGCTGGTGCTGGTGCTGGTGCTGGTGCTGGTGCTGGTGCTGGTGCTGGTGCTGGTGCTGGTGCTGGTGCTGGTGGTGCTGGTGCTGGTGCTGGTGTGGTGCTGGTGCTGTGGTGCTGGTGCTTGTGGTGGTGGTGGTCGTGGTGCTGGTGGTGGTGCTGGTGCTGGTGCTGGTGCTGGTGCTGGTGCTGGTGCTGGTGCTGGTGCTGGTGCTTGTGGTGGTGGTGGTCGTGGTGATGGTGGTCGTGGCAGTGCCGGTGCTGGTGCTGGTGCTGGTGCTGCTGGTGCTGGTGCTTGTGGTGGTGGTGGTCGTGGTGCTGGTGGTGGTGCTGGTGCTGGTGCTGGTGCTGGTGCTGGTGCTGGTGCTGGTGCTGGTGCTTGTGGTGGTGGTGGTCGTGGTGATGGTGGTGATGGTGGTGGTGGTGATGGTGGTGATGGTGGTGGTACCAGTGTTGCTGCTGGAGGTGGTGGTGGTGGTGGTGGTGGTGCCAGTACCAGTTGTTGTGCTCGTAGTCGCCTGCGTGAAGATTTGCCAGACATCAACAACACAAGCGAAGCAATCTCTGGTATCGCTTTCAATTTTGACAAACGAACACCTGCCCTTCAGCTCTGGTGCTAAGAAGCTGCCCTTTCATGACATCCTATACGCAACGCTGGTTCCGACTTCCTGCCGCCCGCACAAGCCTGAAACCATAGGTCGTTGAGATAGCTGCTGCCTCAGTGGTCACCACTGCGAAGCACATCGCAGCCTGCTGTCGTGCTGCCCCTGACGTGCTCTCAAGATCTCTCAAGGCCCCGGCCGTCATGCCCACCGAAGGTGTAGAATCCGTCCGCCGCCGGGCTCCACATTGCTTCAGCGCGAGTCCGCACGCGTGGCGCCGTGCCACTCGGGCTGAGCTCAAGCCAGTAACTGGCCTGCGCAGTGCATCCGCGACGTTCTGATGAGGTTAAGCGGATAAGCATCGAACAATTGGATTCAGAGCGAAGTTCTTGATTCTTGACCTTGTGCGACGGTGTGTTTGATCACGGAGGCCACTGCTCTGTCTGGACATCTTTCCCTGCCAGCGGCCTCAACCAGCCGGGCCAGAATGAGGACCAGCCAAAGCCTCACCTGGCACAAAGACTCGGCGCACATAACTGCCGTGGTTCAGCAACACGGGCGAACGAGACGGTAAGCATCTCGATCCCGGCCATCATACGCTTTATGTCTTGCACCAATTGCTGTTTGCTTCTGTTGAACCTAGCCACCGGGCTCCAGCCGTCAAGGAGGCATGAGCATACCTCCGCATCCTTTGATGCGCAAGCCAGCATATAATCCTGTTGCAGCCCTTGCTTTTCCGAAGTGCTACGCCTTCGCAAATGTGGACACGACAGTCACAGGTAGCAAACAAACGGTGAGTGAAAGGCCTGGGCCGCTTTGCTCCGGCTACTACTAGGGTACAAGAGCTTCCCTGGGTTATTGCCACAAGCTTGCAAGGAGCCGGCAAGAAATTCTTGGGTATGGCAAAGAGCAATAGTGCAATCTGAAGTAATTAGCCATGTTGTAAGAATGCGAGCAATAGCTGATTGTAATGAGCTTGGGCGTCATCCTACCTGGGATTCTGCCGGCACAAGCAGAATGACTCTCTTGCCCGCCTTCACATACGGGCCACGAGGCTCAGAGAACATCTGGGATTCTGGTCCCATTGCGGGTACTCGATTCCGTCACAATAAAAGAACTTGAGACAGCAATGTTGCGAGAGAGAAGTGTTCCTGGTGACTGACATGAAGCAGAAGCAGCCCATGCTTGCACAAAGCATCCGAGTCTCATCATGTAAAACTCATGGAACCCCGAATCTCGGTTATGTTTCCCCCAATTAAACTTCCATTGCCTCCAGGCTTTAAGAGACACTACACTCAAGATCTCCTCATGCTGAACTGGCTCCATGCTAGGCTCTGGTCTGCTTTCGTGCCAACCGGCTCAAGCGGCTCAAAGATCTCCTATTTTGACGGCAAGCCCGGTGCTGCACACATCATTTGCTCATCTTCATCAACCAGAAATATGAGAACGGTAAACTCGCATAATTAAGCTCGCAGATACAATATTGGACTGAAGACATGACTGATGCACACACGCTCGGATAAGTTCCGTTCTTTTGACGGGGTTCGCAATGGAATCATCTTCTCTTCTTTGCTTCTGCGCCGCGACACGACGATGCACGCAAGATCACTTTGCAGCAAAAGACTTCAGCGGTGCTGGACAAGATCTCCTTTAAAGGGTCGTCGATCTTTCACTCACAACAACCAAGGCGAAGCCTGCATTTGTGCTACCTTGTTTGGCTTGAGTCGACGGAGACAAATGGTGGGGCGGCTCCCACAGGCTCCCTCTTCTCAATAAACAGAACACTTGTCGAAAGTGCGTCTCTGGCATCCGACCTCGGCCTTTCGCTGAAGACCGGCATCTGCACTTGGCCGGACTCTTCCTGCCTATGATTTATTGAGATGAGGCTGTAGCACCGGCCCGGAACCCAAAAGCACCTGTGCGATTTGCAAGATTATTGCGTCGAGTCTTGTCTTGCACAGGTACGGGCAACTTGCTGGAGATGGATGTTGGATTTCACAAACGTCGTTCCAAATCCTGCTGAGTGAGCTAATGGAGTTAAGTCTGCTATGTTCGCTCAAAATATAAACATCACCATCAACACACCTGGTAAACTGCCAGTGCAACATAGTGAAACAATCACCGCGTTGCTATGCGCGCGCTTCAAGCACAAGCCGTATCCCAACTCAGCGTTCGGCTCAACATCCGTGCCTGAGAGGAAGCAAACCACAGCCTTTTCCTCAACAGCTGCACCGTGAAGCCTCCTGCCCCTAAACTGCACCGGCCTACGTGCAAGAAATGGCCTTGACCATTACCATCGCTAGTGAAGCGAAGTGGCATAGCTGAATCCGCAAAAATGTTCATCTAAAACTTGCGTCCGCTTGTGAATTAACACGGTTTGCCAACCTGCCCGCAACCAGCAAGTGAAGCTTGATTTTGGAGGTATGAACAATCAATGGATGCAGCCCGAAATTTACCGTGCTTTCATAAGCCGAACCACACAGACAGCACAAACATGGACCTCCATTTCGACCTGACGCTGCAACACAACTTCAGCTCTCCACAGAAACAAGCATGTTCGATGTGTTTGCTGGATGTACACTTGCTGCGACAGCTCCCTGGCACTTCATACAACCGACATGATCAATTCTGGCTAAAGTTCAAGATCGTGAAAACCTTGTTAAAACCTCTCGACCCTCCACGAAGTCAATCGCAGGCATATACTACAGACTGCTTGACGCCGTGTGTTGACACCGTTTGGGACATGACCTGGACCACAACGCTACAACGCTATGGCAGCTCCATGCACAAAAACATGGGCCTCGCCGTACATTTTAAATTTTAAACACCTTAACGGGGTGTGGGACCCAGCTCCAGAAATGGGACCCGGATGAGACCCAATGGGACCCGGTGGGACCCGGCGGGACCCGAAGGGACGAAGCTGGCTGCAAAATGGGACCCATGACGGATGAAACTTCTTGTGTGGGAAACACGGACCCAGAGACACCTGGATAAGACCCAGCAAAAAACGGGATTCGATGACGCAAAAGGTGGGTGGATGCCCGGTGGGACCCGGCTGGGACTCCTCGCAAAAATGGGACCCGGTGACCGGCCAGAGGATGTGGCCTGAAAACCACACATTGATGTGGCTTGAAAACCACATGTTAAGTGGCCCTTATGTGGCTTCAAAACCACTCGTTTGTGGCTCATGTGGCTTCAAAGCCACACGTTTGTGGCTTGATGTGTTAAAGGGGTCACCAGAAGTCTCGGACCTGAACGAACACGGGCGCTGCATTTCTTCTTTCTTTACTACAAACAATTCTGGCTCCAAGTCCACTTGCTGGAGTTAGAAAAAAGCTTCAACAAGCTTCGATGATCTTGGAAGCTACTGGCTATTGCTGACTCCATGGATCTTGACAATCCTAGACAGCAGCGATACATCCTAATAAAAGTCAAAGATCTCGATTAGCTTGAAAAGATCCTCGAGATACCTTGATGACATTGCAAACTGACACTGATCTCCAGTGGAGATACAAGCGGATGAGCCCAAGAAATGATGCTGCAAACGACCCCCCTCGTTGTGAAAAACACAGAGCAAGTTCTTTTCCACGCCACGCTTGAGCCAAACACCGAAGTGTTCAGCAAGGTCTTTTGCGGAGTCTTGCGCAGTAACGAATTCCGTCTCAACTTTGCTACACAAAGGAGGAATGACATGCAACTGTCCTAGCACTTCTCATGACTTCTGTACTAACTCAAACAGCAAGTGCACAGCCACTCTGCCCTTGGCCTGTTCCTACCGGCACGAGCGAAGCGAGGGTCGGCGGAAACAGCAGCAGGTGCAGTCAGAGCAACACGCACTTCTTCAAGGATGCTCCAAAGCATCTCATCATGTTCTCACAACAACTGCAAACATGCCCAAAAACATGTGTTCGCCATGCCAAAGCTCGTTCAGGCTTCCAAAACAAACGTTCAAAGCAAACAGGATGAAACCCTTTCTCATGCGCAAAACGTACATGCCAGCACTCAAGGGCAAACCTAAAAGGAGCAAACTTTTCTTGCTGCAGTGCGCTGTGAGTCCAACGCGGCCGGAGGCCAATCCGCGGCATGCAAATAATTAAGGCTTGGATTGCCCATGCTTTGCATTGGGGAAACGCTCTTCTCCGGCAACGTGCTACCGTCGACTCGGCCCGTGTCCTTGGGGCCAAGGCCAGGTGCTTGCACCGAAACCCTATATATGCGAAGAGACATGCCGCCACGTCGCGTCGAAAGGGGCTGACCAGCATGGGAGCCTCGAAGCCAAAAGGTGAGGATGGAAGAGGGAACGGGGTGAAGGAGGCCACGCACAAGTTCGCTTCTTGTCATATTGACAACCACAGCTGGCCGAATCCGATCGAGGCGCTCCTCAGCACTGCAATACCTCAAAGCGATGACCCATCGCACTTCTGGCACGACTCAGCTCATCCGACCGAGGACAGTAGATGCATCCGGCGTGCACGGGACAGGGCCCGAGATTCTTGGGCTGGCAGAACAACGTTGAGTTGTTGGGTTGGCCTGAGCCGTGCAACTGACATGCCAAAGAAAAACCACAGCAATGTTCAAGAACGAAGAACGCCTCTCATGTCATTGCAGGACGAAGTGTATGTCTTAAGGCTCTGCGATCCTGCTGTCTATGACGGCAGGATGGCTCTAAAGCAGACTGCCGGGACTTACCGCAATGCGGCAATGCTGACGGGAAACAACGTGCGGCGTGCTGGTGCAGGCGGGTATGAGTACAAAATCTACGAGGTGCGCAATCGATGAAAACGTTACAAGCCTCATGATGTTGCGAGTACGCTGCGGTTCTGAATCCGCAAAGGCGGCCTTAGGGACGAGGACCCGTTCGGGGATAACTAATTCAACTCCCGGGGAGTGCTTGCATCATCGCCATCATCATCATCATCAACAATAACAACAACAACGCACCTTCGCTAAACGGCCTGAGATCCCGGCAGATCCACTCGTGGAGGTCGTTGCAGGGGCACGGTCTTGGTTCGTGGTTCAAAGGCTTTGCGGAACAAGGGGCCTTAGGGGACCACTTACGAATCGCCGATGGTAAGTACTGCTCCAAACTCAGAAATAACAAGGTCACTTGGCCAAAACCATCTAAACATCAACCGTCTGACCAAAATCATAAAATATCTCATGGCATAGGAAGCTTTACAATCTGGGGTCTGAGCAAAGACGAGTTCAGGCAACGCCACTCGGGCGGCCTCGTCGTTCTTCCGAGCAG